CGAGGCTTACTATGGATTGGATACTCATTGTGTAACAACCGAGCCAGATTCTTCATATCCTTAGCTGAATAAATGATTCAAGTTTTGGTAGTATACTATCATTGGTCAGATCATCGACTATGGTTATCCTCTTCTTAGAATTTGTATGCTGTAAATACAAATTATATTCGAAACTATTTATTCTGAAACATCAGAAAAAGACTAACTCTAAAATCTACAGTAGTCATAAAGAAGGATTACAAGACAAACCTTAGTGGCGTCATGATCTACCAATATATTGGTCTTCTTATACTCTCCTGCACTAAAGCCAAAACATATCTAGAATAAAGACATGGTCACACCTTTTGCCAAGTATGTTAGACTAAAGTTTAGAACAAAAATCTTAGAAAGAGAAAGACGATTTTTTTTTGGATAAAGAGAGAGAACAAACAACTAAAACTAATTACCAAAGCTTAATTAAGCATATATAAAACTGACTAGCGAAAATATACAAATGCTAAAATATTACAAATTATATGTTTATGTTGTTGTGATTATAACTTTATAAGTTTTGTCTAGGAGGATGACGTGCGGGTCCACGATAATCATGATAGAAAGCTACAAGTCATCCAGAAGAGTTTTTCTTCTTGTGTTTCCATTTAAATGAAGAACTCTTACTTCTTTTCTGAAACCCTAATTTACGCTCCACCATCAAATGCTTTGATGCACTTGAAATCTTGAAACTCCAGCTATCATTGTTCGTTACCATAACTTGCTCCTTCCCGGCTCTCTTTGTTCCCCAGGACCTTAGCTTCCTCGGTGCACCAATGTTGGTGAAGTCGTATAGTTCATGTTATGGTGTATAAATTGATATACTGGATTGATTCAGTTTAAAAATATATAAAATATTTAAGAAAGATTTATTGAAAACAAATTAATATATACATCAAAATGCAGTGTCGATGTATATTGAACTCCATGATGGTCAAAACTTTTGTGACCAGCATCTCCGCCTATCAATACAAATTGAAAGATATAATGGAGAATAAAGTTATTAGTATCTGTTTGATTAAACTAATCTTCTGAAATAAAATAAAAAATTATGAAAGAAAAAATTACGGTAACGAAGAAATAGAAAAGTTTGGATCTATATGTAAAGGAACCTTGATAAGCATAGACTAGGATATGTTCCTCTTGTAGAGTTAGAATAATTAAAAAGAAAGCTAGTTTATGATTGTGAATCTCATCATGATTGTAAAAGATCTTCCAAACTCTCCCTCTCTCACTTTCTCTTGCGGTTTTTGAAGAAGAGATAAAATTATAGTTTTTAATTTCTTGTTCTGGTCATAAAGATGGTAAGTGAGTCAAGAGGACATGGCTTCTTTTGTTTAGTAATAACAAAAAGAATATTAGTCCTTCTAGGTACATCTTTATTATCAATGATGAACAATTTATATTTGTTGGCTCCTCGAAAACATACAGAAAAAACATCGGAGTTGGCAATCTTGGCAATCAAATAATTTATATATGATGACACAACGACGTAATTATCAGATACGTACTCTCCCAGAGTCCGTAGTATGGAGTTTCTGCTGTAACAAGCCACA